TACTGCACCCTGGAGAATCCTCTAATCCATAGGAGTCCACAGTATACTCTGGTTTCTGCTGACCACAGAGCTATGATAATATTTACATATATACTGTAGGCTGGATTTTAGTCAGCTCTGTCTTGTGCCCTAGTTCTAAGTATTGGGGTGGGAGTGGAGAAGTATTTCAGTGCTTTTCAAGGGAGACCTTCAAGCTTCAAGGGTGACCATCCTCTCTCCTCCGCTGGGAGATGAAAACTACTTTTCAAATGTGAGAGTTGTTTCATGTTTTTTTTAGCCCCTGATCTGCTGATGGTTTTGGATGTAGCTTTTCCTGCTCTTTCCTATACTTCTGATGTTGCTTTTATCGTGTCCTCAGTCTTTCTTCTGAGTTGGCCACTGTGCACTATCTGTTGCTTTCTAGACATGTTTGAAGTTTCAGTAATGCAGATATCATACTCAGGAGTGTTTCTGATGGTGGTGTTGCAATAATTATTAATTTTGGCTTCTCCTTGTTCCACACAAAAATATAAGTCCTTTCTGGTCATACCACTTCTGTTACAGTGGAGCTAAAACTGAAAATGTCTGGACTCAGGCTTTAGATTTCAAAGCCACCATCTACCTTATATAAAGACCCAGTGTAAACTGTGCAGCAGATGGAATGGATATCCTTCAGAGGAAATCCTTGCAATCCCGGATGTATTTAGAAATACTCTCCCTTGTTAAGACTGACCACTGCACGGCAGTGTTGCACCAGCATCACTGCAGCACCAGCTGTGAGGCACGCGGAACATTACCTAAAATTCTCCCACTGCCACCTTGGCAATATCCCTTCTGCTGAATGAATGATTCCTCCTCCTACTGCTGAAATACTCTCAAAATGGGGCATGTGCTGCAAAATGGAAGTGGGGCCTGCCTCTTCCTGTGCAATCCTTGCTTCTCTCCATCAAAACCTGATGGGAGAGTTTTGTTAGATATGATGGGATCTGACAACAGTTGGATGAGAAGAATGTTCATGCTGCCCTAAATATAGTTTTAAACCCATGTCTCTCTCCTTCTGGGAGATGAGAGAGAAGCAATATCTCTTCTCTGTATAGTTTAAGGTGTTGGGAGTAAAACTCTTTCCTACAGTGATGACAGGGCTGCTGGATGGAAGGCAGGAAGACAACTCCGTGTGTGTGTAGGATGTTCCTGAACATTAGTGACATGTTTGAGGACTCTGGAGTGAAGGAACAGACAGATTATTTGGTTATAGAAAGGTTTGGATTTTGTTCCAGTCATTCAATAAAACCATTCATTCAATGATAACAAAGGGGAAAAAAGGGAATCGTTGTCAAGTTATGGATTGATCATGGATTTAAACACGAAATCCAAGCCTCCGGACTTTGGAAGTATTTGGGAGGCTGTAGCAAGGTGGGGGTTGGTCTCTTTTCCCAAGTGACAAGTGACAGGAGAAGAAGAAATAGCCTCAAGTTGCTCCAAGAGAGGTTTCGATTGGATATTAGGAAAAATTTCTTCGCCAACAGGGTTGTCAAGCATTGGAACAGGCTGCCCAGGGAAGTGGTTGAGTCACCATCCCTGGAGGTACTTAAAAGACATAGAGATGTGGCACTTAGGGACATGGTTTAGTGGTGGACCAGACAGTGCCAGGTTAATGGTTGGACTCTAAAATCTTAAAGGTCTTTTCTAACCTAAGTGATTCTATGATTCTATGACTTGGTTTGAGCATAAATTTTGTGGCTTTGGTAGGACCATGCGAAGTGTGACAGGTTTGAATTGTTCTTGTTTGATTACTCCGGCAGTCTCCTTGTGGCAGCCTTGACACAACTGATGAGTTAACCAAGAGCAAACAGAGCCCCACCCATCGCTGAAGGGGCAGTCCTGGGACCTGCAGAGGCCACAGGCCAGAAGTGCCTCTCTAGAAGTGCTGCACAGCTCTGCCCTGCTTCTGAGCCATCATATATCCCAGTGAGAGGAGGGAACATCTGTGTGGTACAATGCCAACGTTATAGGCTCCCTCCTGTCCTGTGGGAGGTGTCAGGCAGTCTGGTCTGTTCACAGCTCATGGCATGGAGTTGAGAATCTTTGGTTAATCAAAGAAGGGGCCTGATTTTTTTATCTAAAATTCCTGAGCACGCTCTTAGCTATTGAATTAAAAAATAACAATCTTATCAGAATGGTAATACTTTCAAAATTGATGTTTTGAATATTTTATTACTTTTCAAGATCCTTAATCTGTAACTCCACATGAAGAAACCCATGGCAACAATACACTTTTGCTAGCACAGTCAGGGAGGAACTAGGAAGGCAAAATATAAGGAAATAATGTAAGGAAACAGGAGTGAAATAAGGAAATGGCCATGCTGCACGTCTCTAGATATTTCTTTTTGTTATTAGAGGTGAAATATGCAATGTATTTGCAAACAGGCTTTCAAAGCATACCTATACTTTAATAAAATGAACTGTAGACCCACAACTGCTAAAAGAACCAAGTGTGCAGAGCAGAGCATGGGCTCTGAAATAGGTCAGCAGAACTCGTACTGTCTGCTTCTTCACTCATTTCCCTGGTGCAGCCTTGGTACCTTTTGCGGTACCTTGGGTACCTTATCCCAAGTCTGTGCTGGGATAAGCACATGCTGGGGGCCATCCGAGCTGGCACTTTGGATGTGGATGCCCTCATTTGGGCGGGGAAGAGAGTTGAGCCTCATGGATGTGAGGCAGGCTGCCATACTTGGATGCAGCACCAGAGATTTCTCTTTGGCCTGTTTTCTCACCAAGCATAGACAGCAGCACCAACGGGAAAAGGGCTTGAAGCACTACAAGAACTTGTTAAGTCAATGGACAGGGAAAACTGTCATTGTGAAAAACTGTAAGTGACTTGCCATTGGGAAATGAAAGCAGAATCCACAAGCCCTCAAACTAAGATCCTGGATCTTAAAATGAAACATAGTAATGTTGTTTTTTACTGGGGCTTAAAGCAATATACAAACTTCGAATCTGGAAGACAAAAGCTTCAATGTTACCAAGTCTTCAAAGTCTGCTATCTGGCTTCTCTGCCAGGTTTATGTCTGGTAATTTCACCAGAGAGGTAAGTAATTTAGGCAAGAAAACCCAGCTGTTGTAACAAGTTGTAGTACTCCTTTCATTCTGTGCTATGGAGCTCACTCACACAGAGAGCTGAGCTCACAGCCTTTCTCCTGGATCAACTTCTGCTACTTTTTGGCTGTGGGACATCATTTGGCTCTGAAATAAAATAGTCTGCATGGATCAAAAAATGACTGTTGCAGATCTGGAACTTTATGTCCATCTCTCTGAAAGAGCAAGTAAATGATGCCACTTTCATGACTTTAAATCAGAAAACTAATCATAGATGTAATTCTCGATCACCTGTCCAGTTCAAAATGTGCTCTGATTCAATTTTACCTCTCAGCTCTGCAGCTCAGCAGCTACCTTAGTGATTTTGTTTTTCAATAAATCCTGTAAATGAATCCTTTCTACCCTGAAAACCAGTGTGTTAGCACTCAGATAATTGATGCAGCTATTGATGTATGTACCCAGAGCTATGCTATTCACTTTTCTTTCCCTCAATTCCATTTTTCCCCCCAGTATTGAGTCAGGACTAAGGAGTCCATGTGCATGTGGTGTAGGTAGTTCTTTTTAATAAACTCAGTGCTAGAGGTCACATTTATAGGCTCAGTTTATACAGTAATCTTTAAAAACAACCAGCCCAAGCACTGGAAAACACATAGCAGGGGTTAGTCCTGTCTTGGCAGAGAAATAGGCTTGGTTTATTAATAGCTCTAATTTAAGTCTCATTTCCATGCTTTTATGACTACATTGGGTTTTCCCCTTACATGGGCACATGTCAGAGAAGTAATGGAGCAAGAGAAGAGACAAGCCCTTTTTCAGTTCACAGAACCCCAATTCTTTATTAATCACAGCTTGCTCACAATGACATACAGGAAAATAGCACTAATGAAGAGTAGGATATGCAGGCAGCAACCTCCTGGGGAGTAGGGACAACTTCAAAACTGCAGCTATTTTGGGGATGATGTGTTAGGTTTGGTGATACTGTACTTGGCACAAGCACCCTGTCTAGTCATTCCTCCTGCTTCAGCCCTCTTAGTCCTAGGTGTCGGTCACTAGGTAGGGTTTGCTAACACTGAAGAGTAAAGGTCATGATGAATGGAAGTCAGCAGTGTCAAAAAAAAAAAAAAAAGGTAACAACTGGCTCATGGGTTCCAGGTGAAATATTCAGTAGCCTTTTGTACTATTACGCATGTAATGTGGTAGCATCAGATAAGTATCATAGATCATGGCACCTACAGATAAAGCCACTTGATGCTATCTATTAGTTAGTTGCTCCATCAATAAATTTTCAAGTGGTGAATTAAGCTCACTTTACAATTAGCATTTGTATGGCTGTTGGCATCATCCAGAATTTGCCATAGCTTGATGGTTACAATGTGCCTCGTAAACTTGTCTCAAACTGATCCTACTTGCTTTCATTCTGTTGCACAGATGTTTTTGTTGCCTCTTTCCTCAAAAAGCAGAAGCAACAAATACTCCACCTGATGATTTAACCTCAATTATACAGCACACTACAGAGTCCCGCAGCATAAATTGAAAAAACATTTTAAGAGCCTTTTGTCTTGGACAGCTGAATGTAAAGTCACAATACCTGTGATCTAGTCACTGTTTTAAGAAAGCTTATTGATGGCAAAGCAGTCTAGGTTATTAGGCAATGACTGGTCTCTAGCACCATAGAACTACTACTGACCTCATGGTGGGTTGGAATGAAAAGTCGCAGGGAATGGAATTAGACATGAGGTGCTTCAAACGAACAGATCCAGCAAATTCAACCGAGTGGAAATAGACAACATCAGAAGCCTGTTACAGGACATGTAAGATTATGAAATAACTTGCATAATGCAATAATTGTATTTTTTAACAAAAATGTAAGTATTTACAAAATAAGATCCAAGTTTTTTAAACATCAAGCAAATCATTCTGCAAAGAGACCGCATCAATTTTGTTTTTATTTTTGTTTCTTTTTTTTTTTTAAAGTTTTTTATTGAGTTCTTGATTTTTTTTTTTTTAAACCATGTCATACATTTCCCATACTGATATCGCATGATCCATAATAATATAGGCAGGGGGAGTTTACTAATGGTGGGGGTGGGTCACATCCACCATTGCTGTTTTCAGCCAGACAGTTCCACCTGGAGCTCCTTGTTTCTACGGACCTCTGCGGCATGCCTCTCCTGGAAAACATCAAGAAGGGAAAAATCAAACCTTTTTCTCATTTTGCCTGCCCAGGGAGGCTCATGCTGACAACCCATTTAGGTCATGCATTTGATGCGTGCACAAAACTTGTTTCACAGCACAACCACCTTTGAAGGATTCAACTCAGGAGAGGTGTCATCCACCAGACCAGCCTGAGGCATGTTCGGCGCTTACTTTCTACTGCTGCTCTGGAGCTCAGTCTTTTTTATCTGATATGGCCTTATAATCGCCAGCATCTCACAGAGTTTCATTTCAAAAGACCTCATAGCCAGGTGCTGCTTGCAGCATAAAATGTGCCATGAGATCACATCTGCCCTTTGAATTCCTGGATATTAAAGTGAATATAGGGAAAGACGACTGGGGAAATAATTGCCTTCATGTTGTATGCAGAAGAAGTGTTAGTTACTGTGTTATCTGTAGCATTTAGGAACCAGAAAAAAAGGTCCAAGAATTTCATTCCACCAAGATGGGTTAGTTTGAATGTCTCTAATATCCCCTTACTCTGAACGCTTAAGCTACGTACCCTCTCCATTCTTTCTTTGGCTATGATGAAGAAGGGACATGGTTCCCAAAAATCAATGCTAAGCTCTTCTGTCCACTTTCAGTGATATTGTCTTTTCTTTTACAACAGCAGCTGTAATTAGTTTAACCTTATTTGAGACACTGTATATTCAGATACTTCTGTGGAAATGGGCCTGTGGTCAGGAACGACAACTGTCAAATCTATTTAATAATGTTCTCCTTAGGATGTTTATAAAACTATTATTTTCAGCAGATTCTGGGGTTTCGCGTTTTTGGTTTACACCTCTTCCCTTTCAACTGTCAAACTATCAGACTTTTACCTCTTGTGCCTGATCCCCTTAAAAAACTGCCGGAAAACTAGATGACAAGAACAAGGTGACAGCAGAAGCAAATGTCCGTCCTTAGTTGACTTCAGTTTAAGACGCTGCCTAGGTATTTCCATGCATTAGAGGGTATTTTCTGGTAAAAAATTCACGGAAGTCAACAGTTATCTTTTTATTATCTGAGTTGAACTGTGGACCACAGGCCAAAATAGCTTATTTCATCCACTGAACCTGTAAATCAGTTCTGAATGCTAGATTTCATAAGGGACTTGTTCCTTGGTGTTCCTATTAGCTGCAGCATAAAAAAGTTCTCTCTGATTGCAGGAACTTCTAGACATCAACACCTTGGGGCATCCACAGCTCTGTGCAACTTTGGAAGACTTGGACACAGATATCTCACTTCTCTTCCGGTATATTCAGGATTCACTCTTGTGTTGGCAAAAATGTATAGTCATACAATTTTTAACTACTGGTCAGTACAAATGTTGCCAAATGAGTTACTGTCATCTTTGCTCAGAAGCCTTCCTTGGGTTTCATGCATATATGACATCATACTTTTGTGGAAATGGGGTTTAACAGTCTGTTAACATTAATTAAGGACACAGAGATGTTTCAGCTGTTCTTCCCATTTCCTTTTGGACCTCAAGGATGACTAATTGAATTTTTCCTTTGTTTTCATAAACTCTGGGATAAGTGCCTAAAAACTAATCTAATGCAAAGATATAAAGTAATCTCAGTATAGTTCTTAAGATCAAGAATTATCCTGTTTGCATAGTTATTTGTAACAACATCCTTTAGGTTTTGTTGTTTCTTTACTACTCTCCAAGACTTTTGCCTCCATCAAAGATGTTGAGGTGCTTAGAAAGATCTCCTTGAATATCTCTGAGCTATTGTCTTTCTGTTAGTCAATTTACTAACACATTAGAAAGTTTGTTATTGAGGGCAACAAGTGATCATTCATGCAGAACGAATTGTTTTTTCTTAACACTTCTAAACCTTCATTTGCATGTTCCCCTCTTTTGTGAAAGGGGTTTTTGAGAAGGGCACACTTGGTTGCATGTGCGTTTTGTGAATTCCCTATTTCCTCTGACTGCAAAGAAGATCTCCACAAAAAAATTCACTCTCTTTCTTTCAAGACTTGTGGAAGGACAGACACCTTTTGCCATATATGGAAGAATTTTCCCCCATATTTTTTTCTCTTTATCCTCTGAGAAACCAAGAACTACAGACATAGGATAATTGTTTGATTTGATCAGTGACTTCTCCTAGAAAATGAAATGTAAACACAAGTGACCTTTCCTTTTTTCACAGCCCTTCTTAAAAGTTAGAAAATCAACCTTTTTCTGGAGACAGTACATCAAAGGGCCATGAAGATTAAGGCCATGAAGATCTCTCAGTTCTCTCCTATGAGGAAAGGCTGTGAGAGCTGGGACTGTTTAGCTTGGAGATGGCTCAGGGGGATCTCACAAATGTCTGTAAATACCTGAATGGAGGGTGCACAGAGCTAGACACTTCTCAGTGGTGCCCAGTGATAGGACTAGAGACAATGGGCAAAAACTGAAACACAGGAGGTTCCCCAGGAATATCAGGGAACACTTTTGCATTGTGAGGGTTACCAAGCACTGGCACAGGTTGCCCAGAGAGGAGTTGGAGTCTTCATGCTTGAGGATATTAAAAAGCCACCTGGACATGGTCCCGGGCAACCAACCCTAGGGGCTCTGCTTGAGCCAGGGGGCTGGATCAGATGGGCTCCAGAGGTGCCTTCCAACCTCAACTATCCTGTGATTGTGTGAGTGGTGGCTTAGATAAGCATCAGGGGCTCTGACTTAAAATCGCTCAAGTGCGGCAACTGAGGTAAGGACTACGCACAACATCTCTGCAAAATGTTGATTAGATTCTCCTCTGTAGTCTAAGAGGAAGAGTGATGGTGTGGTTACCTTCTCTTGGAGACGTTCAATAAGAGCAGCTAAATTAGCTTCACGGTTTTCTTTGATCTGTTCCATTTTCAGTATCAGCTTTTCCTCTGCCATTTTGCTGAAGTTATTGTTCTCCTCCAAAGCTTTTTGAAGCACTTCTCGCTCATGTTCTCTCTTCTCTGCCAGATGTTTCAGCACCTGGGCCTCCTGGGACTGAAAACAGAGAGACATGTGGCTTAAATACTCATGTGGAGCAAAATAACCCCTATAGGGCAACAGTTCACTGAGTTTGGAAACCGCATAAAGTTTGTTGCTTTTTTGTTACATGCACTGTTTGGAAAAATCAATTTTGTGAATAAATCAGATTAGTTTCAACAACAGGGGCTTAGAGGCACTGGCTAAATGTGGGGTACATGCCTGAGGAAGCAGCGGAGATGTGTCCAAAGCACTTCTGTTAACAAGAAACGCTGTCACGTCACGATGACCCATTACTGCCCTGGGTCATCTGGATTACTGCAGTGGTTGCTCAACCTCTGACAGCTGCAGACTTTTAACTATGAGCATTTTATTTGCAGAGATAGGGGACTTGGGGCTGAAGACACGTACAGTGTTAAAAGGGAGATTGCTAATGCAGGAGAGGTGCAATTTTCACTCGAGTTGGACTATTCTTTAATGCACTTGAGTAGTTAATAAGAGACTTTGAAGTTTACTGTTATGAAAGACAGGCAGCATCAATTCAATGTCTTTTTCCCATTATATTTATGTTTGGCTAAGTCTCACTGCTTAGGAAGGGAAAAAGAATTTTATTCTGCAGAAAATAACATAAAAATATTTTCAGTTAAAAGTTCAAATTCTGCAAGGAAGATGAAAACTGCAAGTAGGAATTAAACAGATGCAGGCTATGCTCAATATTGTGTTCTTCTTTGCAAACTCACTGCTCAGAAGCATAAGCTTTGTTATTTATTTTAAATCAAATTGCTAACATGAAACCATTAATCTTAGGAGAGAAGCCAAAAAACTTGCAGCATTGGGCCCATTCTCCTGGCAAGTCTGATTGAAAAGACAGTTATTTGGAAACGATAAACCAACATTGTACACTTTTGGATAAAAAATAAATTAGAGGGAGCACAAGAAGTAAACAGAAAAGAGAGAATGAAATAGGGCTCCGGGAGGCTAAGTGTATATTTCAGTGCAGATCTCAACACACTCTTGCCATTGTTATCTGTAAAAATGAATTAGTTTAAGGTCTAAATTAAGGGCTTTAACCGTTAATTACAATTAGCTGTAATGAATCCTATTAAATTCTGTCATGTGGCTTTAAATGGAGTGAAAAAGGCTGCAATCCTTTTATACAAAAAAGATCCAACTAGGAGGAGAAAACAAATATTTTAATGAAGGTAAGATACACATAAAGCCAAATGCACTGATAAGGAAAATTAAGGGGATTCTGGAAAAGGCTGCAAAGACCAGACAGAACATCTTGCAGCAAGACATTGGAGTAAAACTGGCTTTGAAAGGTTGTAATGGCTTGCCTGAGATCATAGAAGAGAGCCACTTCCATCCATTCTGGACACTTAATGTATCTGCTTTCACCTCTGGCCTGGCTGCAGTTACAGGCTCATTTCTCAGATTGTGATCTCTGGAGCACTTGCTGATGGGAATGGTCTCCTGAAATGGCTGGTTCCTCACAAAGGCTCTTCCCCCCCATTATAGCATATGATGAACAGAGAGTAATACAGCAAACATTTTTCATCTCTTTGAGTCTTGTGTCAGATAAAATATGTCACAAATGGGAACAAAACCCCCCCAGACAGATGCAGCAAAACCAGAGAATTTCAATGGTGGAATATGGAAGGAGGATGAGCCAAAGGCAAAAGGGCAGAAAGAGCTAGGCAAAGAAGGAATTTTCTAGAGTAACTAAAAAATCATAAAAGTCTGATAAGTTTAACAAAAATATAAAAGAATGTAATAATCATATAATAAAATAAGTTATTTCGAAGCAGACTATTTGATTCCAAATACTTAGAATTTAACAGTTCTTAACTGTAGGCTATTTCAAAATGTAAATAAAGTTATTTTGAAAGATTTGATGCACTGTAAAACTGAAATAATTAAACATCTTCACCTTGTTCTACCATTTTTGGATCAACTTGAGTGACTCAGTTTGACCAGTGCTCGTGAAGTTATTCTGTATTTTCTGTTTAATTTACTACTCAATGGCAACCTTTCATTTACTTTTGGAAAAGTTATTGTCATTAAATTTTGCTTGCTTACATGAATTTTGTGAACCCTTTGCTTAAGTCATCTAAAAGCAATGGATATAATCTAAGAATCTATTTCCCTTCCTGTTGGGAGTTTGAAAAGACACAATGAGCCTAACTGTAACATCCTTTCCCATGAAACATCTAAGAAGTGACTTGTTAATTTGAAAGGCTAATGTTTCTCTGTGTTTAAATATGTATATATAACGTGTTATAAAATCAGACCTTTTCAGATTTAGAAAGCAGACATTTTAACGGACATATCCATATGCTAATAAAAAGTAAGATTTGGGCTATGCATATAAGCAGCATTTTCTAAAAGAGCATTGGCTTTCTACAGGAGGTAGTAAAATGCCTTTGAGACTTAGAGGCACTTGCCCATTTTTCAGGATTTGTTTTCTTCCATTCAAACCCTTTGCCTTCTGGAACTACTTGTTATCCTAAATACAGATGGACAGTGAAAAATTAGAGTTTCATATAAAATACCCACATTTCTGGAGGCTGTGCTGGTAGACAATACATTCAAAAATAATTTGTCCACTAAGGCATGATAATGAAGAAGATCCTTATACTGTAATTCAGTATTTACAGGATGCAAACTGTGTTGGCACCAGTAAGAGACTGTGTGATAGCTGAACCAGGCCTCAGGAACTAACTGCAACCCTAATGTGATTTTCCTTTACAATATGCCTTAAACAGCATATTGTGAGGTATTTTGAGTGAGGAAAATCACCAATACCCAGGACTGGTTCAAAATATAGGAACTTCCCTCCCTACCACAAAGCACCCATGGGGTAGAGTATGATTTAGACTGATGTCCCTCCTCTAATGGCATTGTACCCCAGCTGTTAGTCTGCCTATTTCCCTAGTGTTCAGACCATTCTGAAATCCCCTTATGACAATTCTGGAAGGCAGCTGGTATGTTTTTGTACTGGATTGTCAAATAATCTTCTAACACATTTGGCAGAAGAACTTGGCCACCCTGTCTGTTCAAAGTCTACTACACATCCAGAAATGGGTAAATGAATGACCATGGATACCCAGGGGAGCTGGGATTAATAGACTCCCTTTGTTGTTTGTCTTGGCTTTTAACTGCTGTGTTTTAGTCTCACACAGTTCCGCAGTGATGCAGGATTCCAACATACATATGAAGTTTTTATTTCAAGTTTATTTTCAACATTGTATTGTTTGAAGTGCTGGAAAGGGTATTTTCAAATCCCTGATAGTCTATGTTCTAACATACTTGTAAATGGGTTATGATAAGCACTTCTGGTACAGCTGTTGTGAGAAAATGAGTAAAAAAGACTGGAAAAGGGGTGAAAGATAGAGAAGACTAATAAGAAGAGAAAAGTACGAAATAGTGGAGAAAGACAAAAGCAATACTCACAGGGTAATATTCAGAAGACTTCTTAAATATTACAAAGCATAATCAATGAAGCTCAAGCTGCAGAATCTAATGTTAGATCATAGAATCAAAGATTATAGAATGTCTTGATTTGGAAGGGACCTTAAAGATCATCTAGTTCCAACCCCCCTGCTATGGGCAGGAACACCTTCCGCTAAACCAGGTTGCTCAAAGCCCCATCCAATATGATCTTGGACACTTCCAGGGATGGGACATCCACAGCTTCTTTGAGCAATCTGTGTCAGTGCCTCACCACCCTCACAGCAAAGAATTTTTCCCAACATCTAATCTAAATCTCCCTCTTTTTGTTTAAAGCCATTGCTCCTTGACTTATCACTATCTGTCCTTGTAAAAAGTCACTTGCCCTTTTTCATAAGCCTTCTCTAGGTACTGAAAGGCTGCAAAGTAATGTGGAAGAATAAAAATGTTTATTTGTTAATGTTTAAATGTGGAGGAATAAAAATATTGGGAAACATTCCTGGTACGGATACCTTTGCTCCTAGAAACATACTGCTGTGCTGAAAGGATAGTTAATGCAAGCAAATTTCTATGATGTTCATGTCATATTTTTAAAGGATCATGTGCATCCTCAGTTTTTAGAGATGAGTAGTTACAAAGGAAATCCAAATCTCTTACCTAGCTGGCCAGAGACATATGCAGACAGCTAAACACTCTCTTCATGAGCAAAATTATTTATGGAAACCAACTTTGGAGATACATACAGTTTTTAATTATCACTCACAGGAAGAAAATTCTCCTTATCCGAGTAACAGGTGGTTTATTTTCTCACATTTATCTTTGTTTGACAGATATGTCCAAATATTGAAGTCATTTATATAGAGATAAAAGTAATCCTTTATTACTTTTAAGCAAGAAATGGGCTTAGACAACTGCTTTTAAATTGAGAATTTCAGCTTGAATGCATTCACCTTAGTCACTAGCATCCTTATACTAGGATGTATGAGGTACATTACCAGTCATGAGAGTTCCCCTTTCACAGCACATTCATTCACTGGACTGAGGTTTTTTACAATTCAGTTATTCAAAAGAAGCTGCAATAACCTCGGCATTCCTCAATGTATTGTGTACTTAAGAGATACTGTTAATACAGCAGAATGTGAAGACAAGAGTAAACACTCCTACTGCAATCTAAATGCCAGGGTGAAGCTTAGGTATGGTGACTTGAAGTACTGATGTTTTCATGGGAAGGAACTGAGGCAGGGATTTTTCCATGAAAAAGCATGGAAATGGACTCTAAAATTAGACTTCACTCAGAAATACCCATATGGCAGGAGACATCTGAGCTGTAATCATAGGTGAAGTTCTACTGCTGGTGAAACTAGGTGGTGCAAAATTTTGCTTATATTTAGGTGAGGATCTTTTTATTTTTTTCATCCAGTCTGCCAAGGGACCTATGGATCAAAGTTCCTAAGGATGGGGAGTGAAAAAAAAAAAGGAGCCCATCCATGATGTGATTCAAGAAAACTCACCTTTGCTTCCTCAACTGGCACATAATTGCTGCTCTCCTCGTTGTGACCCATGGGTGTGAACAAGGCATGTTGGAGGGATGTGCCCTCTGCCTGATGCTCCCCTAATTACTTATGAGGCATTTTGTGATCTGCTGCAGTTTGAGGCCTGGCATTTTAAAGTTAATGAAGATCAATGTCAGATTGTCTTATGATTGTTCATTAGCAGCAGAGCCGATGGCAGACTGCAGGGAGAAGCTTTGCTGGCATTGGGATGTATGCTCATGACTCCTGTGTGCTTTGAGACAGACCTTGGTGACTAACACAAAATCTTCTCCTAGTTGGTAGCAAATATCTTCCAATGGGCATGTATTCCATAGACTTTTGCTTTTTTGACAACAAACTGCAAACTGGCTTGCAGTTTTGGCTATCTTTTGTAAACATTATGAGTGAAGCACTGTATATGGAAACACTATTGCGTATTGTGGCAGAAATATCTGATTCTGGTGATGATTACACTTATTATTGGGACCTTTAAATGAAAAAACACTTCATGCTGAGGAGCAACAGAAAGGGAAATCAGTAGGTAGGCAAGATAGGGGACAAGTGTCTTGGGCAGTGCCTATCCTCCCTGCCAGCCTGCTTGCCTACAAATTTGATGGGAAATCGAAGAGAGGAGCAGGAATGAGATGGAAGAAAAAAGCTCCACTTCTGCCAAGGAAGGTGTGAATCCTTTCTCTGCCTCTTCTCTTACCTGGAGTGGCAGTTTTGTAGGTCCCATGCAATATCCAGGAGGGAACACTCGTCCCCCAACTCTGCTGCCTTCCCTGCCCTGGCAAAGCCTTTTCACCCATTAGCCCGATGTACAGTGTGTAAAGCATGGATGGCTTTTTCCATGCCAAAGGAGATACGGATTAAGAGTATCAAGAGACACCTCCAGCTGTGGGGCTGGCTCAAAGGGGCAGTGGGCTGGGTGCTGAAGCCTGACGCAGAGTTTGGTCATGATGCTGGCAGAGATGCCCTGGACTGGCTCCTGCTGTGGGGAGATTATCTTGTGCCATTTCATAGTGATGGTATTAAAAACTCATGTAGCTATAAGTCTATATCCAACAGCACGAAAGTTAAAAATTATGACTGTTCTCCTGCATTCATTGTAGTGCTAAGTTCTAGGGATGAGCTTGATTCAATTTCTTCCCAATACAAAGCCATTAAAAGGATTTAATTACATACAATTTCTCTCCCATAATCCAAAGTCTAGTAGAAATGCACATTTCTACTAGAAAAACTATATTTCTACCAAGAAAAACTTCTGCATACAATGTCAAAGTGCTCTGATTTCTTAAGTGAGAAGGATGAAAAAATCCTTCTGCTTATCCACCCAGGTGGGAAAATATAGCACATCTATGCTGAAAAAGTAGTGGGATAATAATGACATACTGTAGAGAGGATTCCATAAATGGAAAGGACAAATCTGTAACTAGCCCAAATGAGTCTTGCTCTGTGGTGCAAAATGAAAAAATGCCTCAGGTGAAACTCTGATTTTGGTCTGAGAGTATGAGGTCATGGTTGTCAACGGAGGTAGAGAAAAAGGGAGAGAAAAGGAAAGCGGAGTCTTGTAAAATCTTGCAAGGAAATAAACAAGAATGATAAATAGGAAACAGCATAAGCAGGAGACTGCTGAAGTGTATGTATTGCTGTAGATGTTCTCATGAGTTTGAAAATTTATTAATGAACACTGCCTAATTAACAGAGCAGAATCTAATTCCTAAACAGTGTGAAATTCATTAGCATTTTTTCAAAAAAGGCAATTCTCATCCATTAGTTATACTTGATTTTAATTAGAACTGTGCTGGAAGGACATGATCTAGAACGGTCATGCCTGACAGCTCTTGTACATAGATTGAAAAGTATGATAACAACTGCTGTGGTGGCTGTCAGAAAAAGTCTGCCTGGTTTGTCTAGCAGCCAAAAGTAGAAGATGCTTAGAACTCTAGATGAAGCTAGGCAAATCTGCCTGGTTCCTTCCTTGAGAGATATATATATATACATATATATTTCGAGCTTTCAGCAGTCAGCGCATTACACACATTCTGAGTCAGAAGTTGCATTCATGTAATAATTTCCTGCAATGTAGTGGTCTATCGATTTTGAACTAAATAATATTTTAATAATCTCTAAACAGTCTGTGATAACAAATATACCTTGAATAAACAGTACATAAAAAGGTGATTCCTTTTGGAAATTGCTGTCTGATTATTTCCTTGAGTATTTCGTCTCCTTTGGATTGTGTGAAACAGAATATAATTGTTCTTATTCATCTTCTCATTACCATTCATGACTTTGTAGACTTCTATCTTATCTTTTACCTGTTGTCTCTTTCCAAGCTGAAAAGTGGACTACTTAATTTATCTTCTTATGGAAGATTTTCTGTTCCCCTAATTGCTTTTTTATCCTTGTCTGCACTATACTCCTTTTGAGGCCAAAAATGAAGCTAGTAGTTGAGATGTGAGAGCACCAGGGATTTAAACAGTGATGTAAAGAAGCTTTTTGTTCTGTTCTTTGTTCCTTTCCCAGCAATTTCTGTTGCAATGCTAATGTGAAGGATCTTGTCTATTAAAATAGCTCAGTTATATGTTCATTCAAAATGAATGTAGTACTAAGGGGAAGAAATGGCAGGTGTCTGTATTGCTATCACTGATTACCAGTCTTGCATAATGAGTTTTTCTTTCGGAAGAAATGAACAGTAATGAAATCAATGGAATGAAATCTCTGGAACATTCAATTTATATTTATCACCAAGTATATGCATAATATCAGGCTTTTTAATTGCTGCCATTTAATTCTGTGTCCGTATCTTTACTTGAGCATTTGTACTCAGCACAGAAGAACTTCGCACATGGAGTTTTTGGGGCATATAATCACTTGGATGTGTGAGGGCTCATACTTTGCAGCAGGTGCTAGTGCAAATGCATATCCTTTTATACACAGTCATGTCCTTTTACCAAATTGAATACTTTGGCAGAAGTATTTCTTTGAAAGAAGCAATAGTGCTAATGAGTGTGCATTAGAACCACAGAGTCTTTGCTAGCAAGCCGGCAGAAATGGCAAAAGTGGCAACACTGCAGTGCTCATCTAAATGAATTGTTCAAATTAGCAAGGTCCAGAATAGTCAGGTTTCACTGCAAATCAAAGCTGAGGGCCAGGTTTTAAGGACCTGTCAATAATCCAGACCTACTGACTCCAGTAGACACACATCAAACCCTACATCAGTGTAGTTTCTTGGCAGCAACCCTGATCTGACCCTGGTCTGACAGGAGTGAAAGGAGAGTGGAGCCGCTTTTCTTGGATCTGATCCATATGCTATCTGTAGCATAGCTGCTGTCCCTGGACTTCTGTACACATTTTTGTCCATATTGGGAAAAGTTCTGTAAAAATCAGTTTTAGTAACGAATCATATTTTTTAAAAGATAAATGAAAGGCTTAAAGACATATAAGCTTGTTTCATTTTCAGATACCTTCTACCAGGGACTCTGTGGGCAGGTGGAAGAGATTTCCAACTCCTATTTAACTAGTGCAAGCTGATTTGCCACAAAATTACACTGATCTTCTGGCTGAAGGGCACAGAAAGTCCTTCTATGGCTCCTGAGGCTTCTGTGCCTCTCCTTTTGTGCGACAGCAAAAGGAAACATGAATTAACCAGGACAATATATTACTGACCTTGAATTTTCTGTGGTCATTGCAGCCAGTTTTGATTTTCCTGAAATGGTGCAACACAGCACAAATGCTGGGACCACATAGGATATTGATAATTTCCAGCCTGGCAATTCAGGCTGGCTATGGTGAGTGTCTCATTGGCTTTGTCTGTCATCCTCTGACTTAGCTGATCTGGAATTTGTTTTTTTCTCTTTGGAAAAAGAAAAACCAACCTGATCTAGCTCTGACTTAGAGCAAATGAAGACCTCTTCAACACATCGGTCATGATGAAAGCCAAATAAAGAGTTAGTTGGGACTTCCTGCTGCATTTGTGCCAACTTTGTGAAGAAGGAATAGCAACTCTTCCAAACACTTTTGTGACAAACCTACTGATTATGAAACAGGACTTTACCATTATGGGTAAGGTCATAAAGAAGGGAAGACTTAGTCTGTGGAAAACCCTACAAGGCCAACTTCCAGCACTACTGAGACAGCTAGAAACGCCTCTTAATAGCTGTACTATACTAGTGCCTTCATTGAATGATCCAGAACATGCTTTATTCACGGCTGATGTTCCTCCACACTGCATAAATAAGACATTTAAGCTGCCTCAGGCAGGCCTTGTGAGAAATTCTCATGGGCACTACAAGGAGTCAAGGTCTGGTAGCTGAGACAGCAGTTGATTGAATTATACATCCTTCTCTTAAACTCAGACACCAGAAGAATTGTACTGGTTTTCAGCAACTATTATAGATGTCCTGAATGAACCACTTAACTTATATTCACACAGTAAGCATGTGTATTTGAGCCAACCTGGGCTCCTGCCTGAAGTTATCTGTAACACGTGATGCATACTTCCTCAGCATCAAAACCAGTGAGGCTTGTTTGCAAGCTGCTGAAAGAAAATACACTCATGCGTTTCTTTAAACGTGTTAATAACTTTTGTCCATGCAGGCCATTGTGAGTCAGTGATGTCAGTGGAAAACATACCAATGGACAGGAAACTTGGCTACTATCCTGTACACTGTCACATCTAATTATTGGTTTGCCTTTTTTTTTTTTTTAAGGAAAGATACCTTTCTCCTCTCCTCTGCAGCCTCCAGCTTTTTCTGGATCTCCTCAAGAGAGAGTTCTTTCTTCTTTGGAGAAGCTAAAGTTCGTGGTGCTTCTGAGACTGGAGATGGCGGCTTTAGGATCAGTTCAAAGGCCTGGCCTGAGGCACGTTTGTTGATTTGTTTCACTTCCATGTCTGCACAATAAAGTGTGAAATGGTAAGTCCTTCAATAGGCCAGCAGTATTGAGGGGAGATCAGAAGCACAGACAAAAGACTTAGCATCTTTGCCTTGGGCATTTTAAATGCAATGGCATATTATGGGCTGAAAACTGTTCTCAGGAGTACATTACATTTTATGTGTAATAGCTTAATTATACCTTAATGTCATAAAGATAAAAATTTACAGCAATTTTGGAAGCTTATTGGGGTTCTGTGTCATTTCACGCCCCTAGCGAGCAGTGCCCAAGCTGATTAATTTTTTAAGACATGCTTTCATCTTTTCTTCATTTCTTTGGGAATTATGTCAGCTATGAAGAGCTGTAATTCTCAAATGGGGAGTAGGGAAAGCACAGCTCAGTATGAGAGGGATAGCTTTAAAAGTTTAGTTAGCTGCTATTAGGAACAACATCCAGCATCATCTACAATCAGTAGAAAGTAATAGCCCAAACTAGTAAATAAATGGTTAAATCAACAAAACATTCACCGACTAACACTGTGGACTGTGAGGTGAACTGAGTCATTTCCCAGCACTAGCACATTATCTGACCTGCAGGATGATTTCCAGAAAATGTCACTCACCATCATATTTATAGATGTTCATGTTGCGAGGTTCCGGGTAAAAACAGGAGCAGATCAGAGAGAGCATGGACAGCTCCTTCATCTTTTCCTTGTAAGCTGAAAAGAGAAATCTTGTTAGCATGCTTCACTTCCCCAGCTCCTCCTTAGTGAATTTCTAGCTGAGACGACTGGCTGGGGACCAGCAAACATGCTCTATCACCCACCTGGCAGATTTGTCTAGAATATTTACTTTCAACTATTTCTTCTCGACATTGGACCTTTATCAAATCACTCATCTGATGCTCAGTACTGCAGGGACAGCATCGCACCTCCTACATGACCTCAGCCTTGGGTGTAATGCAGACAGTCCTACAGAAAGTGAATCTGGCTACCAGGAAATGTATTTAGCACTGGAAGAGCACCATGACTCCACTCTTTCCTGGCAGGTGGAGAGAGAATGAAGCTCTTACAAATTCTCTGATGTATCCAAATGCAATTGAGAACAGCTCTGAAACACTGCCCATGTATTGCCATAGGCAGATGCTGAAGACATTATCTGTTACAAATGAAAATGTCATCCAGATAATTAAAAATAAAACCAGAAATGAGGATACATTTATCAAATCCCTTGCGTAATGTCCTTAATATGAGTAACTACTCAAAACAAAGCTTTTTGTTCACCACTTACTGGCCAAAATATGTTGTTTTCATACTCAGGTCTAGTGTATATCATCTGATGCAATAAATACCCTTGTAGTTTACCTTTATGTTGTTATCTTTACTGACTTTGTAATACTGGTAGGCCCCAGCTGTGAACTGAGGCATCCCTGGTCTAGAAATGGTGATACCAATACCTAATCATTATGCAATGTTCTGCATTCACCTTTCTAAGTGCTTTTAAGTAGAAAAAGAGTCTTGTACTTGGTCACTTGGCAAGTCAGTGACAGAACCCAGACTAGAGCCCAGCTCTCCTGAGTCCTAGGGCTTTACCCTAGTCACTGCCTACATCGCATAATGCATATATATAAAAGGGGGGGGTGGTGATCAAAATTCATCTTGGCACACACAAATCCCTGCTACTATCGATATCATATCTACAGAAGCAGACACTCATTTGCTGCCAGCATGTGAAAACATGTCTTAAAATATGTGTGACTGAAAGTATTGTACTTAACAGATTAGACCAAATGAACCCATGATGTTGCTAAAGAAAAACCAGACAGTCCTTTGACCTTCAAACTGTGTGTACACATGAAATTGTCAATCAGCCTTTCTAATGGATGTTCTTGTGGTTTTTGAATTTGTTTCTCCTACTCAGAAAGGGCCCTGAGGTTGAAGAGGTCTTGGCAGCCTTTGGATGCTGCTCAATATGGTGGTATTTGAAAGATCCATAGTTCAGGAATGGATTTCTAGGTGTTAGTTAAATGATTAGTTAATCCAATTAAGCTTTGCATGGGGGCTTCTAATCATGTACCTTGAATAACCCACCTAAAGGACATTTAGCTTTTCAGAAACCATTGGTAAAAGCCAGTATCTCAGGTCAAGAGAGTACTGAAAATCTTGTTTTGTGGGAACTTAGGCTGCCAAGGAAGCTTGGGCTTGACAAGACTTTGGTTTAAAAGCTAAGTACCAACTTACAAGGAATAACTCAAAAATATTCTGAAGAGAAGAATAATGTCCAACTGACGTCTGTTGTCAAACAAAATTAATTGCTTGCTTAGGCCTCCATCTAACAAGCACACAGGTATGGTTGCCCAAACCACCCTTTGAGGAGGGCTTGCCCAGCCAGCTGCCCACACTACTGGAATTGCACCCCTTTCAGCAGCAAGGTTATGGAGTGAATGCACAGTAGACCCTGGCAGGTTGCTAAACATAGAGAAAATGGACACTGGGTTGAGTGTTAAAGACATGGCCATTGACAACACAAGCTGAAAGCTAAATGTGCTTGTACAAGATCTGCCGAGTCATTGACAAAATGTATACCTTGAAATATCTTTGTAAAAAGAGGCATACAAAGCAGCATCCTAGGAATTTTGCCTTTTGGGGGCTTTGTTATTATTATTTATCTTTGCTTTACATTAAATTTGTTTTGGTTTCTAACAGCATTTAAAACGATTAGGAAAAGGTGTTTGTTCTCCCAGCTTGCAATCTGCAAAGCACAGCTGGAGAAAGATAAGAACATGATCGGCTCTCTTTCCTTCAGTGCAATAGCTGCACTGAAAGCCCACTGGTAAAATCATTGTCCTATTTAATTCTGGCCACTGACTTTCCATACTTTACAAGAATTACATTTTCTTTTTTCATGGTATTGATTTAGTCTTCATTTGCCCTTTAGAGTTCCTCAACCGTAACTGGAACTTGGCTCGAATACCCACAGAAATTCCGGAGGCTGCTGCAACCCTGGGAACCAAACAACCTGCCATGCTGGCAAACACTGCTTTTCCTGTTGTAAACTTAAGGGTTGAGGGCATCAAAGGAAATGAGGAGCTACCCTTCTCCTCAGGTGTCCAACATCAGCATCATCATGACATGTCCCCCTCAACCAAGCTTACTTGGCAGCATTGAGCAGCAGGAGCCCTGCTTTGCTTAGCTGTCCTTTCCTTAAACATTTCCTTAAAATACATTAAAAAACCTGAAAGCAGTGATGTTAGCCTGCTTAGCAGTCTGATTAAAGTGGCTGGTCCATGTCACACAGTTTAGACTGGAAGGTAACTGTACTTTCCCAAAACCCGAGTGTTTAGTGTTTTAGCCGCGGAAGCCTGTTCTCTCAAAAAGAAAGGTTCTTCTATTAAGAAAGCGGCACACACAGACCAGACAGCCAACAGTACAGCATTTGTGCACAGGACCTCTTGTGGAAACTGAAATAGGCACAAAAATCACCTGCCTTATAGTGGAGCTTTTAAAAACCCTTCAAGACACGCAGTGATTGCAAGGAAGTTTATTTTCCAAATGTGTTTCAATTGGCTTGCTAATTATATATGTCCTTGTGCAGTCATGTAGGGTACATATCATTCCATTAACTGTGCAAGCTAAATGAAGGAAAGTAAATTATGGTAATTGTAACATTACAAAAGCTTTGATAGGGAAATTGCTAGGAAAGAACAATGTTGATAAAAGATGGCAACAGAATTTTTTTAGTTATATGCAGCAAGATCTAAATGTTTATATGCACTAAAAACTTTAAAGCTGGGCAAGAGAAGAACACTGATTTTTGTTTAAAAAAGAAGAGAATTCAATATTACCAATTCTTGCTGTTTTGCTGTGAATATATTAGTATTTATAGGCCTTCTTAAATTCTGAAACTGCGTGATTATTTCAGAATCTCATCTACTTTTTTAAAAATAAATTCCTCATATTCAGAGTTGCAGAGAAAAACCTTAGAAATACTATTAAATGCCCCTAAAAGCTTTGACAGCTTCAGAGAAGAGTAAACCCAAATGGCTTTGAAATTCAAGAATGTGTTTGGGTTTTTTTTCTGAACGAGTCCCAAATGTACCTTAATATCACTGTTTTAAGCCAAACTCACCCTTTACTCAAACTTTAGGCATTATTTTTAAGAGCTACCTTTAGAAACTGTGAAATTACTCCCTGTGTTGGGTGAACATCCATGCTCTTCCATTGTGGGCTCTTTACTTGCTGGTCCAGGTAAGATCTTCACATCAGCCAGCACTACATCTGCATGAGCAAGAAGGGAAGCACAGCAAGACTGGATCTCTGGGGGGAAACAATTCTAGGGATTTAATTTCCACACTGTATAATTTTGGGGATCTTTTCTTTAAATTAGTCTGGTCCCATGACCTGAACAACCATTAGGGCCATGGGCATAGTAGATGTACTGCTAGTACACACCTTCCAGTTTCATTATCAAGTAAACCAGTTTGTGCTCCAAGATTTCTCTGAGGTGTGAACCAAAGCATGGTCAACTGGGGTGTTTTGATGATCCTCTTTGAAAGTGTTCTATTGATCTCAAATAATATGTTTATTCAGACACATTCCATATTCCTCCGCTGATGACAGAAAAGTAGCCCATGGCCAGTCCTGAGGAGTGAAAGTACTAAGGTACAGTCCTATGGCTGCCATTAGAAGTCAGCAATCACTTATTTACTGCTGGGAGAAATAGGAAGGTTAAGGAAAACACCATTAAAACCATCCTGTTTGTTCTCATCTGTTATCCAGTAGCTATAAGGAATTTTTTTACAGTTTACACTGTAAAATGAAAATCTGTCCTGATTGATGGGCCATGGGCAATTTGGGTCACATTTTGTTCCTTGGCAAAAGCACAGCTCAGACAGATTGCTGTGTCACAGCAGAGACCATTATTCATAAGCAAGGCTATTTTTAACATGTGAAGGCAGAGAGAAAAGTGTAAGTGTTACTTATAATCAACATTGATTTTTGTTAAACCCATCCCATGGAATACAAAAGAAGCTGTTTACTTATGCAAAGACTGTCCATTAATGATTTTCTTGTATCTATGGAGCACAGATAAAAACACATGCAAACATGGCGATTGGAGGGAGGCACAAGTCTGACTAAAAATTGCCCCTAAATTTACAACTTAATCTGTCACTTATCATGACTATGGCTTTTTGGACAAAACCGGACTACTCCAGGTGCCGTGTCTGTGATTTTTACTTAACGTGTGTGTGGTTAGAGTCAAACGTCTTTGTTTATTTTATGATGTCAGAATGTTAAGATGTAAAGTTACTATTTTGTATTATTTCAATGTATGTAATTTTCACTGCTGAAACAATGAAAAAACCCATTTACTGAACCCTAACTGTTACAGTCATCTGTGACATGAGTTAATGGGACTATTTTTTTGAGCTAATGCAATTGCATTGTCAACATGAGATTTTGATGGAAGGGGCTTTTTGAATTTGGAAAAATATAAAAATCTTGTCATGGTTACTCAAAACAAAGAGTGATGCAGATGCTTTGCCATAGTCACGCTGTGTGTGTTTCTTGTTTATTGAAATGAAAACACACACGTTACCTTCTAGTGCAGAAGGAATACAATAGACACGTAGCTGTCCAGAGCCTCAGGGCCCTGACAGCCTCACCACACTGCATGCTGTGGTGACATGCCTGTTCTGGGAAGAACAGACAAGAAAGCCGTGGGTTAGCTTCTCATTCCTCAGCTCTGCAGAAACTAGTCTGTAGCAGTGGAAGAGTCAGATGCTGCACTCTCTTCTAAGCCATCCCTTTGCATCACACCGGCATGAGGAAGCCCTTGTCAGTTCAGTTCCAAAAGTCCTCCGGGACTGAGGGAAAGGCAAAGGACCAAGCGCTAATACAGAGGACTGTGGCCCTCCTGAAATTCATTTGAACTTAAGAGGACTTCAGCCAAGGTGAAAACAAAAATTCCAGAGATCTTTTTTGTTTCCCAAGGGGAGAAGACCTTCTTTAAGGTCTGCTTTGCCTTTAAAATTTATCAAGGCTTCGCCCCATATTTCCCTCTGTATTTCCACACCCCATCTGCCTTCCCCTAGTTTTCTCCCCATAGAGCTTTTTCTGTAGGAAAGGATGTGAGTTACTAAAACAGACTTTGAAGACAATGGGGAAGACAAAGAGTGAGGAATGAACTTAAAGGCTACAGTACACCTAAGACAGCTTTATTTTCTGCTGGTTAACTGAACATAACGGTTTAATTTTTGTGCAGTGAGAAGTTCAAACCCTGTTCAGGCAGTTTGGCAGGATGCTGATATTTAAGGTGCTGAACTTATGCCTACCTTCACAAGAGGCCACAATAGACACAGATAGTTCCTGATTATCGTGTAAGTGTGAAAGTCATGTGAACATCAATAGTTTGAAAATCTTTAAGGCAGCCCCAACCAGTAACCATTCTGCTATTTGCTGTCTCCTGTATTCTGTGGAAGCAAAAAAGACTGTGCAAATTTAGCTACAGGATGATGTGAACCAAAGAGATTTTCCTGAATGTGAACTGTATGGAAAAAGGGAATAGGCCATAGCAGCAGCACCAGGAGGAAATAATCCTCCCTATTTGGCTCATCTTACCTGCTTGAGAACTGTTGTTGGTTTTGTTACATACCTGTGCACGGAGCAAACAGTCTCTTTTGACTGGCATTGCAACAAGCTTGGCTCTGTCACACCTCACAGAAAAATCTGTTTTACTTTTAGTTTAGTACTCCTGTTAGAGTAGTAGTAAGGATTCTGTATGCATCATTCTGGGTCTGATCCTATCATTAATTTTCCTGTTCTCAAGAAAAATCCCTTTCCCCTGAGGTATCACTTAGAGTCTTACATGAACGATTTAAGAAACAAAACCTCGAGTTCTGGAGTTTTTGAATGGGTGAATTTGCTTCCCATGATCTAGTGCTCACTGTGTATAATGTATTTCTTTTGCACCATATGCCTGAAGGGTTGTGACATACCTTTTTACCAGCACACAAAGCCATTAAATTCTTTTACTTCTGAGACAGCTTACATATAAAATAGCCTAAAAAGCCAGATATTTCACTGCAAAGTTTCCACTACCATGGCTTTGAAGATCCCTCATGGTAAGCAGCATTGAAACAGGACCTCAATCTCCATGTAGGCCGTAAAGCAGTGTTTTTAGGAGTCCTGATGCTCATGTTTGAAGGCCAGGGAAGTAGAAGGCTTTTCAGAGACTCTCCTTAACCCAACCACCCCAGTTTTGCTGTACATGGGTTATTTTGTCTTAGCATTTCTGGGATTGGGGCTACCAACTGTACTAGCCTGCCATAAGAGCAGCGTAGTGGAGTTTGCTTCAGGAGTTCCTTGCAATAGGATAACCCCAGATTGCTGATCCTTCCCTCAGAAGTGGCCATGTAGTGCTTAGTAGCTCCCTGAGGCGTGCTTTTTCCTGGGTGCAAATCTGTGGTGCTCGGCTCGGTTCTGGGGCCATGATGGCAGCTGAAGCACCAGGGAAGGACTTGCAAAGGAGTTGGAACTTCTTCAGTGTCTTTCTAAGTGTGGGGTGGGGAGAACCGGGCTACAGACTGGAAGCTGCCAAGCCTGCAAGCAGTCCCCTTTTCCTCAACAGCCCTGGCATGCAGGCATCAGCCACCATAACAGCAGCATGTTGCTGCTGAACCGAGCACTAGTGGGAGGTGAAATTTCAAGTCCCTGTGTTGGGAACACTGATCTCCTCTAGAGCATCAAGCAGAGCACCCAGCAGAACACCCAGGGCTAGGCCATCAGAGATAGCTGCTGTCTCCCAGTATGCTCTTCAGGTCATCTTGTCATTCCATTGTGGAAGCATGCGGAGGCCCAGATGAGATCTGCACTACTTTCTGTACAAACTTGTCAGACGCAAACACCCTATGCCAAAGAGCGTATGGTCTAAATGAGAAAGACAGGCAAGGGATGCTGGGGAAAAAACAACCCAGAAATGAAAAAAAAACCTGCCTCAGGTCATAGACCTGTTCTGTAGGAAAGCTTCCTGGGGAAGAGAGTTCTCCTGAATTCTGTATAAGTGACACCTCTGTTGGCACAGGCTGTCTCTTTGCGAGTGCTGCAGGCAATATGGCTGGTGAAACAGCTCCTTGAGTGAGGATGCAAATCAAATACAATGAAATAGAATGGCAACAGTTTAGTCATGCAGCCTACTATGATCAAACAGCATCTTCCCGAGGTATGAATCATGCTCCGGGGTTCTG